CGGAAGAATCATAAAATTCAAGGAAAGAGTTTACAGTCTCTCAGACAAAAGTAACTTGTACTAAAAAAGGCCTCAGCACATAAATGACATCAGCATGTCTAGCACATGGTTCTAGGTAAGACAAACCAGCACAGATGCCAGCTTTACTGCTTCCTTGTGGATAGAGGAAGGAAGTCAGCGCTGAGAATTCTCCTTACAGAGCAGAGGCAGTATGCCACTTCACTGCTTCACCTTCTATTCCTAAAATGTTTCAATCTCAAAATATTTGAAAACCCCAACAGAAACAAGCTTGTGCTTTACAACACTTGCTTATGTGTGGACACATAGTGGAGAAAGCTAGGAAAAATAGGTTATCACTGCACAAGGCTGGCTTAAAAGTAAAACCACAAAGAAACACCACCTGTGTATGAACAAGACTAGATGGCAACGGGCTGCTTCCTAACAGACTAAAATGAGTTTTCCACAAGGTGGAGGTATATATATTGCTGGAAATTTCGCACTACGTTTAACATGTAAGAGGTTTAACAAGGACAGAGGCTACCTAGCCATTTCTGGCTCAGCTGCCAAGAAAAGCCATAGGTCAAACAGGAATTAAACTAGTTTCACTATCCACTTTTGGAAGGGGGTAGACACAGGGAGGAACAGCTTGCACCCCTTGCTGTCCTTCTTCTGTATGCGCAGTATCAGTCCTGCGGTTGCTGGCTGGCACACAAGAAACATGCCTCAGCCAGCAGGACCACATTGCCTTTTTACAGTAAGAAAGAAAACATCTGGTAAGCAGAATCTGTAAGAAGTCAAGGGAAGAAAATTGAATACGAAAGTCTTTCTTATACTAGATCTTCCGTCTATTTGAAATATCAGCAGAAGGAGGAATATACATTTGTCTACATAACCCACAACTGAGCAATCATCACTTGTCAAGGAGTTTAAGCCATGCAGGAAAGAGCTTTATCTTGATATGTGGGGTAGAAATTAAACTTATATACAAGTACAGATATGTATTAAGAAATTATCCAGCATAGTGGTCATGGATTTCTGAATCATAAAGTTAACAACACAAGTATGAAAAGTGAGCTTTTTTTTAGGCTATATATTTATTAGAAGCAGTATTAATGTATGAATCCACCTTGGAAGAAAATAAGTGTCCTTGAGATGTTAGATTCCATCAGCCAAATTGAATGTCTGCATCAATGGCTCTCCCTAAAAGTCATAATTAGGTCATTAAAATATATTTAGAAAAATAGCCTGTAAAATAAAGTTAAAAAATACTCACCTTCATTTTATTTCATAGGTCACTGTTATACCATCTAATAAGATAATTAAAAACATGCAAGCAGCTGGTACTGAGGCTAAACAGATTAATGTAATAGTCTGTAGTCATATGTGCTGGCAAGGGGTTCACCTCTTTGGCGAGGAGAAGGTCAGCTGCCCTTGGGAAGGCAGAAGAAAGACAGTACTTCTACTTTCCAGTGGCACTGCATTGCAGATACTGAAACTAGAGACCCACACCTACTTTTCTTTTGGTGAAGTCCAGCCAATTTGCACATCCAGAAAAGGCTTTAACCACAGAAGTAAAATAATAAAGTTGAGGACAGCTCAAATATTTTCAAGTCCTTATGTTTTAAAGATAAGAATTACTATTTTTCTAAATCCTTGTTTAAATTTTTCTAATAGTGAACTTCAAATTTCAATGACATGGTTCTAAGAAATAATTTGCATAATTTCTTATTAGTAAAGCTTCTCCTCAAGTACACAAAGTACTTACATCAGAGCCTGAAGACCAACTAGAAAATTCCCTTTGACCTGACAGGACGCATTCACAAACTCACAGAATATTTAGAAATATGTGCCCGTCACATGCGCTTTTCGCTCACATTACTTACAAACTTTATGACCTAGAGGGAAATGCTCACTATGTGAACATAAGCAGCATTAAATCTGTGCTGTGATCAACAAAACAAGAGCAAACTCTAAGGTGACACCATCATATTAAAAATATAACCATACAAATAGTTCTGGAGCATTATAAATATATCAAAGGTTAATGATCTGACATCCTTTATTAATATACACACACACTCAGAGTCTTGTACTGGATAGTATAAAATTGTAATTTAAAATAAAAAGTGTTGGAATCGAGTAACACCAACCCCACATGTTATTTTTTTTATTTTGGTAAAAACAATATACTCTTAATAGCACTTTAGTAGCAAAACACATTCACATATTTTTAAACATTTGGAGTTGTCTCTTTTCCGAAATAAATTGTAAAGAGACTGCTACTGATAAAACATAAAGCAGCTTTTGTTTCAGTAAAAATTTCCAGTAGAATTTTGCATGTATTAGCCTTCTGCAAATACGACATGTACCGTGATCCAAAGATGCCTTTGTCTCTTTTAGGGCAGAAATACACTAGCCAGTCTTTTTTAAACACAACAGACTGAAACACATTGGGTAAACAATACTACCATCAGTTTCACCACATTACTAACTTACTGAAAGAATAATCGTTGACAATATCCTAAAATAAGTCCAAATCTCTAATTAGTCCTTAAAGACATAACAACTATTTACCATTGTTACCTTTCAAGGTAGTTTAAGATTTACTTTTTGTCTTTCCTAAGGTATTACCTGCTCATTTTTACTTAACATACAGCACAGAACTATAACTATCAACACAATATTCAGCCCAAGTACCAAACTTTCATTACATGATGGGAATTACTTGCCACTGTGCAGAACATATTCCTTTCACACCTTAAACATTGTAATACTACTTAATAACAGTGCTTGCTTGCCAACTATTAAAAGTCAGAAGTTTCTTCCATATATATGTGTGTATGTATACACACACAGACATATATATATACACACAGTACTATCTTGCTTTATCATCTTGCCTCTAATTATACCTGGCAGTGGTATATGGGACCACTTTTAAAATATTAATTAAATTCCATTTTGTAAGTTTGGCTGTAATTCTCTGTGATAGAATATGATCATTATACAGTGGAAGTTGTAGCCAATGTCGTATTTTCTATACGCACTCTCAACTAAGGAATACAGAGATACAAAGGCCAGCTTTAACCTCCTCCCAGTTGTGGAGCATTAAAGGTGGCTGAGGATTCACTATGGTTTAGGCTGGACTAGTTTAGCCCCCTGGGCTGGCTCACTGGGAGATGAGTGTCCCTGGATGAGTGAAGAACAGGTCAGAAGACAGGGTCAGACCCCAGCTCCACAGCTGACACTCCCATGGAACCAGAGGTAAAACTAGCTGAAGCTGGCAGCTTCTTCAAGTTTTACCTTGGCAGGTACAACAGCTGGGGCTCTTGAGTTAAGAACTTTCAGGTGTATGCATTCTAGAATTAATGGCAGAGGGAGCTCTCGGTGTCTTCCTTCTGCTGATCTGGCTAAATTCTATCTTGCCAATTTTTCAGACACTGCTTCATGGTGTCTGTATCTACACATGCTTCTCACCAAAAACATGAAGAGTATTCTGTGTGCACAGTACTTTTGAATTGAGCCCTTCATTCAACTGAGACAGTATGCTGCACGCATTAGAGAACACAAATAAGACAAAAAAAATCAAGTCAGGAAGAACCCTGAAATGGATCTGCAACACATTTTTCTCAAAGTGAACATGCTCACTATCCTCAAAGGGTTTTGTATCATCACAAAGCAGGTTTCATTAGAGCAGACTTACTAGAATACAGAAAATGGAAGTATTTGTAGATCAAACCTCCCCTGTCCCACTGCGTCCCTACAGGCATACCCTTTTTTCCAACCTTGCTCTCAGTCCAGAAGCTTCCTCTGGGTGTTTGAACTGCAACAAACTCTTTGCCGTTCCCTCTAGGTCCTTACGAAAAGGCTTTCTTTTCAACATCCTCAAGACCAGGCTGTTTGCTCCCTGCTACCTCGGTGATCTCTGGAACAGGTTTTGCCTCCCTGCACCTGAAGGCTCCTCATACCACGCGCAGTTCGCTGCCTGCCAGACGGTGTGATATTCCCCACCCAGCTGGCTGCAGCCAGGACAAGGCAAACAGGCAGGTTCCACCTGCCCGCCCGCCCACCTCTCTTTGAAGTACAGATTCCAGTAGACTACAAACGAACAATGAAAAAGACGCCATCCATCACTGTTCAATAAATGAATCCCGACCAGTCATGTGGTAAAGCTTGTTTATGTTACCATACATAAGCGTCAAAATGAGATGCAGCCATTCTAGTTAGCACAAATCTTACTATTAACTTACCAGCCACAAGGACACAGATTTAGCATTTGTAGCAGAGGCAGGATTTTGCTAGCTGAAAGATGAAACGACATATCTGCTGATTGCCTTTCTCTGCTTTCAAGTACAAGCCACCCTTTCCTATGGACCTGAGCAAGGCTCAAGCTTAGTGACGGTGCTGCAAAAAGTTGCTCAGTACCGTGTTTCTTTGACTGGTGTTTGCTACCAACAGAATTGAAATGTTATTTTACTGTCAGAAAACCTCAAATTTAACAAATCCTGGCTTTGGTTTTGACCTGAAATTATGAGCAAATAAGAGTTCCATGTGGTCCATAGAGCCAGTTACTTTGGAGAAGGTCAGAAAGGTGATTCCTGGTGAATTACGTATTTCAATATCTAGCTTAGCTGCAATGAGTTTAGGTGAGAATTTCTACTTTGTTGCATACTTTGGAGAAAAACAAACAAACATACAAGCCAACAAAAAACCCCCTTCAATTATTTAGGCTTGCAACCATCCTGTACATTTGCTAGTTAAGCATTTTGAACAGCTTTCTCAATATAATAATAATCCAGAAAACAACTATTCAGATCATTCCTTAATTAAATCCTTCATGTCCTTTAATCTACTGACTACTGACAATAGTCAATCTATTGACAATTCAGATTGTACAAGTCTTAAAATACGTGAACCTGTTCTTTTGCTTTAAATAGATCATGCTGCTTATTAGATTCAAACTTCTTAAAATTAGGAAATAAATATAAAAGATGACCAACCTGTAGGACATAAACGTTCCATCAGAATCTGAGGTGTGGTGTGCGCCTCCATTTTCATTTGATCCTCCTAATACAAAAAATAAAATACCTTTGTTATAAGACAAACCCTGATAATAAGTAACACAGTGTCAGCAAGAATTGCAATTGATTTGATCATATATGGTAACTTTAGTTTATGACAAAACGTACATAGACGAGTGTCAACTTCACATCTTCAAATTCTTACAATTTCATAACATCTCCTGTGGCACCACATCAGATGGTTTACTGAGGTCCACATAGACTTAACGTATTTTCTTAACGTATATTTTGAAAGGCTAGCAGCTTAGTTGGGTGCAACCTCCCATGCAGCTAAATACCTGCCTGCACTTACAAATTCTGCCATTCACTTGTCTTTTCTCTTATTTCTTTCTCAAAAACTTTTCTAAAGTTCTGCAAGGATAGCAGTCAACCTATACAGCTGCTTTGCTATCACCTTTTTTTTCTCTTTATCTACGTACAGGTACTACATTTCCCCTCCTTCAAATATATGGTTATCAGCCATGAACTAAAAGACTAAAAAATTGTCCCCGGTAGCACTATTTGCAGTATTCTTGACAGACAGTTACTCTCCGAGTCAGTTGCTTTAATATCTATTGGATATGGTAATTTATAGTATCTACTCAACACTCCCTTTTATTTTATTTATTTTCAGACCTTTGCAGGAAATTTTGGTTTTACTGAAAATGAAAACTTTTCTACTTTAGACCATACCTGGATTACATTCCATACCATTTGTCCTTTCACACTGCACAGTGGTTCTAGTTTTCTTGCCCAGAAAGCCTCTTTACACAGTCATATAATATTTTCTTTTTAACTTAAATTCCCTTTTTATGATCTAGTTCAACTTAAATTTTGCTAATTGTCACTATAGTCTGACACTTTCTGATAGCCAGGAGGTTGATTTCTTTGCAGATCAAACTGTTTTCCTGTTTCTTTCAGGATCTTTGCTTACTCCAGACATTCCTTAAAAACTACTTAAAAAAACACGTTGGCACAGAACTTTCCTTCCAAGTGTTTTTTTGTCATCTATTTTGAAATGAATTTTTTATTAACTTTTCCACCTTTGCCTAAAATAAATCCCAGACCTCTACTACATACTAGTCTAAAATTGCTCAGTCCAGTTGATTTCACTAATTAGCACTCTCCATTTATTGTGAAAATAGAAATCCTACTTAATCAATCTGCTTTTTGTTTACTAAATTTAACTAACTTAACAACACCAGATATTTCATGCAGGAGCTGACCTTCCCTTTATTAATAACCATCTGTTCTCTTCTTTCTTGTATCTTGGAAAATGGTCTCCCCATATTGGGACAATTTTAAGTAATAGGCTTTTTCGTGTATTATCCATCTCCACATCTGATCCTGGCCACTCAGAAGCATGACTGAACTATGCTCAGTCTCTTTCAAAGACATATGGCTAGGTGCAATGATATTGGGCAATCGCTTATAGGGACAGTACATTGAAATGGGTCCTACATACACTACTGCACTTAATTTAAACTCAACTCCTGAACATTCACCTATCACACCTACTCAGTCATACTGAAAAAGAAAACTCATTCACAATGCTAAGTTCATATGCTGAAAAATGTCCTTTGGAACTTTTCTGAAGTATGGCAACACAATCATCTTCTTTTCTAAAGCATAAGTTTTAAGAATATCTCAGAAAATGCAAGGCCTCTATAATCTTTCATCTAAACCCTTTGTCCTGCCTGAACAGTCAACAGGACTCTGCAAAGAAAACCAGAATCTTGGTGATGAAAGTTGTTCTTTCATCAGGATCCCACAATAAACATTTGGTGGTACCATGGGTCTGCAACATCACTGAGTTTGAAAGGACACCCCTGCAGCTAGTTGTCCTTCACAAACTACCCTAAGTGTAGCTTGCTTTATCTGAAGCACTCTCTCAGAAGACAATGTCCTTTATTTAAATAAAAATTTATTTTTATTTAAAATAAATACTGCAATACTCATTGTTAATTGCATACCCACTGTTAATAAATTTCATATCCATACAGGTTATTGTTGGGGGTTTTCTTGAGACCACTTTTGCTGCTCCATCTTATCATTAGCAGCAGCTAAAAAAACTGGATAGGACCGGGTACATTCAGCTCTCAGAAACAGGATTTAGTGGAGCGGACATTTCTGTGGTTGTTTTCTTGCGCCATTCCCTTTAGGACAGATATCTCTGTTACAACATCTCAAAAGATGCCTTAGATATCTTTCATTGAAAGTGATAAAAACGATAAAGCAAAGTGCAAAATATTCGTGGACTTGAAAGAAGATTCCCTAAATTTTACCTACTGTTATCCAAAAGGCTTTCTAGCAAATCCTGGTAAGCATTCAGAGTCAGCTATACTGGAGAACAAATGGGACAGATGTTCACTAACTAGAGACAATAAATGTGGGAATCTGTGCCCTGGATCACCTCTCCCCAGGCAAGATCCAGTTATTTGTCCTTTTGAAAAGTATGGTGAACTCTCAGTAGAACAGATAGATTACATGCATCTTCTACAGTGGCAAAGTCTAAATTTCTGGTAAAATTCAGATGTACACTGAACAGTTACAAATAGAAGACTCACGATGTTGGAAATAGAATTTGTGGTCTCCTTTAAAAATGCTAATTAATTCACTATTATCCTAATCTTCAGATCCTTTTTGAGACTCAAATACGGAAAGGGCTCTGAGGATGCTCTACCAACCCTGCCTCACACCTCCTGAAAAAGTATCCAAACTGCAAATGCAAAAGCTGGGGGGGGAAAAAGGTAAAATAAAAGTTATCACACTTTCAGAGGAAAGAGAAGGAAAACAACCAGTAGCGTAACAAGTATCAGTGTCAAAATAAGTACAGCTAAGGCACCCAGCTTTCAGCACTAGAACAGCCACTGGTTTTAATACAATAATAAAGTAAGGCAGTATCCTTCCAGAGGGACCACAAAGCATCTGGGTATCTTTCTTGCTGCTGCTTTAAGTGAAGAAACTCCCTCTCCTGAGAATGAACACTTTCTCCAAAAAGAATTCAGTACTATTGCCCCATTTTAGTAAAGGCTGTTCTTATGCATGGAGACCAAGGGCTAAAGGGAGCTGGGACCTGGTACTACTGGACACAGCTGGAGGCTGTGCATAACTTGAAACTGATGCTTTTAATAAACAGTCCAAAAGGAAAATACCAAATGCTGGCTCCTTTAGATTTCAGAGGTGCATGCAAAAGGATTTGAAAACTGCATGTTTACTAGGGTACGAGATTCACGCAGAACACACAGGCTTGCTGCTTGCAGTAACTGCGTTCTTGTAGGAACACGTTTGAGATTATAGACATAGCAAGAAATAGATGAACCCAGAAAAAGAAGGATGCCAAATACACTTTCTGAAGATTATCTGAAAACCATGTGTCGAAATTGTACCATGGAGAAGCCTAATTTAAATACACACACTATTTTTGTGTGGCTTTTTATTTTTAAACAGCCTATTATACTGATAGTAAAATATCTTCCCAAATATGAGCTTTTCCAAAGTGCAGTGCACAGTTTCCACTTCAGGCAGTAAGAAGAAACTGGGTACCATTTCAGGGCCTCAGTTCAAGAGCAGGAAGATGTTCTGGGTATGCACTAAGCACAGCGACCACTCTGAGCTTAAGCATGTGCTCAACAAGAGACAAAAACCTGTGAAGAATGATGCAGGGATCAGACATTTCTCACTGATCTCCTTCATTACCTCTCTGACAACAGCTGTTTCTATAAGATGCAAAAATTCACCAAGGTACTTCTTATGGAGAAGGGGTGGGATACTGTCATAGTCAGCTGCAAGTCTACGAAGTCAAGAAGCTTGAGCAGCATCCCATTAATCTATGGGTATAATGCTACTTTTAAAAACAATTGAATTCTTTTTTTTCTTTTGAAAATATGTTTTGATACTGAAGTAATGTCTTTAAATGTATAAATACTTTTGTATGTACGTATGTATACACACATATGTATGTTTATGTGTGGGCACACATGTGTATTTATATAGTGCCAACCGGTTTACCAATCTTGTGTCAGCTATAAAAGGGTTTTATGGCTGGCAGTTCAGGAATTCGTGATAAAAGTGATCCCACTCAGGAAATCAAACCGTGCATTCCCCTGCTTACAAGTGTCAAAATGGAGATAGATCTCTCTGCTGACGAGTTTGCACTCTGCTTAATATTTTCTTTGTATCCTAATAAAAGGTTAAAATGTTGTTAAAATCCCAAATTTAACAGTTGTAAAAATTTAAGTTCAGGTTGATAGAAAACAGTCGATCATCAATGCAGTGTTTTATAATTAGAGACAAGGAAAATTTTAACACAAATATATGCTTGCAGTCTAAGGTTGTCAATTCGTATAACATGACTTCCAAATTCCATGCTATATTCATTTTCAGCATATTTAAAGCTTAATAATTTAATGATTTATCCAATTTTAATTTATACTTTCAAAACCACTTTGAACAATCTGAGGTGCCACTGGAGATCATAACAGTGGTCCTGGTTAAGTCAAATAATAATTACAGCGCTTTCACTTTAAAGATGAGATTATTTTTAATTATTGAGTGAAGTACTTGAGGTACCATACTTATATAATTACGCTACTCATTAAATGGTTATTGAAAGCTGAAATGTAATTTTAATGACAGCTACCTATTTTTCTTTGCACACTTTATAGATGACAGATCAGTCAGGAATTCTAGTTTGCTCAAAAAATCCTTGCAGCTGCACTGGTTCTTTCAGGTGTAAAACAATTAAGCTGTGCTTTTTTTAAAGCTTGGAACATTCTTTTTTTCTTAAATGATATTTATACAATATACAGGAACCACTAAAACAGAAAATAATGCATAGATATTTTTTCTTCTTCACAGTAACACCAAAATTCTGGCCTTAATCTATATACATTCCAAACAATATCCCCCCAAAACTAGTCACAATACAAATATGGAAGAATAAGAATGATTTTAGTCAAAATGTGTTCCTCATATAATGCAAACAAAAAAAAAAAATTGCTTAAC